CCAGCGGACGCCAAACTTAGTTGCCGATCCTATCTTCGCCAGGGCCCAGCAGTCGCATCTCCATCGCCAAAAAGACATCTTTCCAATCCACACAACTGGCGCAACCCTCGCCCTCTGAAGCTGCGCCCAGTCTCCTCGACGCCCGCTACCAAACTTGTGCTCTTCCCGCCTATCCACACGCATACCACAGCCCCCCGAACCAGCGCAGATATATTTCCCCCCCTCGAGTCTATTCCTGCCCTGCTGCTCCACCGTCCCGCGCCCTTGCATCATCCCCGCCGCTGCATTTGGTCGTCGAACCCTTAATGCGACCCCCGCCTGGTGCGCGACATAATTGCTTCGAGATTAGCATGTACTGTGGCTAGAGACATTACCACATCTCCCTCCTACACCCAAACGCGACCACGGGCCTGCACTTCCCAACCCACACTCCTCACGCGGACCTCCGGTAGTACCTCTTTGTTCCAAGCCGCGTTCGTGCGCACATTCTTCGTACATTATTTCCATTGTCCCCAACTATATCAGCTGTAATACATCGTCAGTATTCTGCCTCCCCCCCGCACCTGCCCTGCCTGCGCTGACGCCTGAGCTTAGTCCCACCAAAGCGCACGCATAAGCCACCCCGCGCCGCAGCACCCACCGGTGTGCTATATTCTCCGCATACTAATAACCTCACGTCCGACCTGTGTAAATGAACACCTCTCCTGCCGGCTCAAGTCGTAGCATGGCAGTCATGGCGGGGAATGTGAGTAGCGGCTTTTCTAGCCATACAGCATGGCGTGCTAACACATATGCTCCAGACTCGAGCGCGCGACTACTCCAATGGAGCCTCGCTCAACAACAACGGCACCGACACTGAACTCTCACGCGCATCCCCATGGGGGAAGAACATCTGGAATGCCCCAATCGGCACCTTTCCGCTTGGCTCCAAAGGCCGAGACAACTCGCGCCCTCGAGGTATGTCGCCATCTACGACATAGTATGTTCCTGTAATACTGACACGCACACAGAGAACAGCGCCGCCATGGGCACCCCTGCCGATCACGTTGAGGGCAAGACTGGCTCTGGCTCCCTACTCACCAACTCGGAGACGGAATGGAGGTCTACCGCCCGGCCAGCTTGGGGAGAGACCCCATCTGGCAGCATACCTCATGTAAGAAGCTCCGGAGTGTCGCCGGCACGGAAGCGGTCTATCGCCCAAGCACAACCTGTTCAGCAGTATAGCGACAACTCCCCATCCGCCTTCTCGTCTTATACTACAAGAAACTCACTCGCGGGCCAAGGCTCGCAAGCAAAGCCGGTCAAGCCATTCCTTGACCCTACCATATCCAACTTCACATCGCGCCAGATCGAATCACTCAACACCGGCTTCACCAACTTTGGATTCGGTCAAGCAGACGTCAATTCTCAGCGCCCCGATACTGGTGTCACCTCGTGGCCAGACACAGGCTCCGTCCACTCTCCGAACGACGACCGCCGCAGCGTAGCAAACTCGGATTACCTTGCGTCTTCGAGCGGAGCCCCCTCACAGAACGGAAGCTTGCCTCCATCCCGACATGGTGCCGAGCCAGCACCGTTCAGCCAGGCTCCGGATGCATTCTCTAGATTTACTCAGCCTTCCCGCCAAACATCGTCCTTCTCCATGGCAAGCGGTCGTGCCTTTAACGAGCGAAGCGGTTCAATACAAAGCGAGTCTTTCCACACTCTGGGAAGGCTGAACAGCGAACAAGATCAAGATGCGCGCATGGCACCAAACAGGTCCTTCAGTATCAACGCTTTCACCCCAGCACACACACCCGGACAAGACACCAACGATGCACCTACAGGCTCATACACCCCAGATGGCTACTCTAGTGCCCAACTCAACGGCCAATATTCTCAGCTGCGATCCTACCAGCTCGACAACAGTCGAAGCGCGCCGAACGGCACTGGGGCCCGTCAAAGTCCTTTTTACTCCTCCATGAACACACCGCCTGTGTACGATCGTCTCAATCCGTACACCAGTGAGCAGATGCTCACCCACCCCAACAGTGTTACGCAGCTGCAGAACAAACTGGCCGGATTCCAGATGTCACAACAACGTAATTTCATCTCTCCGAGCCAGCTTCATCAGCAGCAGTATCAAAACATCTTTCCCGCAGCTCAAGTCCAGAACCCGTACCAATACCAGCAGTATGGTCTACCCAACGGCTTTTCTCTATCCGCAATACCGCAACACATGAACATGACTCCAGCAGCACCAATCTTGTCTTACGGAGGGCCACCTAAAGGTCCTCGCGAGCAGCAGGTCGGCGATGGTCTCGGTGCCATGAGTCTTGAGTTGGCCAACTTCAAGAGAGAGCAGAAGCAGAGCAAGCGTTGGGAGCTTACCGACATCAAAGGTCACGTGGTCGAGTTTGCCGGAGACCAGCATGGCTCCCGTTTCATTCAGCAGAAGCTTGAATCAGCCAACAGCGAAGTCAAGGACAGCGTCTTCAGAGAGCTCGAAGAGGATGCGCTACAGCTGATGCAAGATGTTTTCGGCAACTACGTTATCCAGAAGTTCTTTGAGCACGGAGACCAGGTCCAGAAGAAGATCCTTGTCGGGAAGATGAAGGGTCATGTACTTGAGCTTGCGAATCAGATGTACGCGTGCCGAGTTGTACAAAAGGTAAGGTTCTCTTTCATGCGCCCCGAGTAAACACACTGACCGCAGTAGGCACTTGAGCATGCGCTCACTGAGCAACAAGCCGAGATGGTCAAGGAGCTCGAAAAGGATGTTCTTAAAACCGTCAAGGACCAGAACGGCAACCACGTCATTCAAAAGGTTATCGACCGGGTCCCGATGCAGTACATCCAGAGGATCGTCGAGGCTTTCAGGGGCAACGTCGGCGTGCTATCGGTCAACTCCTACGGATGCCGTGTTATCCAGCGACTACTTGAGAAGGTTCCGGAGCCACAACGAAGGTTCATCATGACCGAACTCCACGCTGAAGGACCCAAACTCATCACCGACCAATACGGCAACTACGTCACTCAGCATGTCATCGAGCACGGCTTGCCTGAGGATAGGGCTAAGATTGTCGCTCTGATCAAGGCACAGTTCCTCGCTTTCTCAAAACACAAGTTCGCCAGCAACGTTGTTGAGCAGTGCCTCAAGTGCAGCGACGACGCGCAACGCCGTGAACTCGTATCAGTCATCCTTGCGAAGAACGAGCGAGGCGAGTCAAACGTCATGAACCTTCTCAGGGATGGGTACGGTAACTACGTCATCCAGAAGATGCTGGACACCCTCAACCGAGATGACTACGAGGACTTTGTCCAAGCACTCAAGCCTGAGCTTGAGAAGGCCAAAAAGGTCATTCCTGGCAAGCAATGCGTCTCAGTAAGTGGTCTCGTGAAACTGAAAACATACTTGGAGAAACCCAACTAACGAAACCTTAGGTTGAGAAGAAGATGTTCCGTTACGATCGCATTGACTCGCCGACTATGCTTACACCAGCTCTCAGCAGTTCCGCTCAATCGCCACAGAGTAGCTCCCACCCTAGCACGAACAACTCCACTATTGACGAACCCGTACATAGCGCGCCTGGCAACGGCAAGCACAGCGCTGTCAACGGTATGGGTGGTGTCAGCATCGCGGATACTGCTTGATTGCGTAACACGTCCATCAGATTATTTCCATGCATCGCACATAGGTCTCCTAATATCCGCCGCACGTCCTGTTCTATTCAGCCAACGCATCTTACTATTCGCATGGCTCGGGCGACATATCTGCATTCTATTGTTCATATACCATTACCTATTACTTCGCTTTCATCGTTACATATCACTACGATTCGCTTGTACGGCTATACGGATGACCCGCCTTTTCATACATCTTGTCAAACAAAAACAGGCTGGAGTCTTAATTGGAAGTTTGTGGGTTTTTTGCTATCATTGGGTATTTGCCTAGGCATGGTATCGTTATTCATCATTGTATTACCTGGATTACCTCATGAATGGCATGGCGTACATGGGGAAATCACTCGTTGGGATACCATGGGCAACGGAAACAGGAAGAGCGTCACGTAAAAGATTGCGTAGATGGTCGGTGTATTGAATATCTATGAATACACATTCGATATCTGACTTTTTGCTATTTGTTTGTACGTCTGTTTGTTCGAATGTGGCTTGAGGTGCATGTACTATGTGTGGATCTACGACTAGCAGCATAGGCGTCGGGTGTGGCTGTCGCCCGGCTGCTGCACCCGACCCGGCCCACGCCATCTTACCACTCCCGCCTAGCATACCCGTAGTTGTTGCAGGGTGTACTGACTAGTCGATCATCTAGCTCCAAGGTTTATCAAGAGAGCAGCTCTTCTGTTTGCTTCTTTCATCCTTTTTTTTCTTTGGTAGATCATGGAACTATCTGTTTTCCTTTCTTCTTTTTGTTTCACCATAAATGGATATTCGAGATATTTCAATGGTGTGTTTCAAAAATTCGCAAGCTAACGACGACCACGTGGTTCCCTTTCTTCTTCTTCTTGTTCTTCTCCTCCTCCTCCTCGGGATCACCTGCGAAAAAAAAACAAAAGTGGAGCAAGTACTAGAATAGATCGATTCTAAGAGTTCTCGTCTCTCGGTTCATGCGACGATCAAGAAGGGGTAGAAGGGTGGGTGTGTGGAGTGTTGAACGACTTGCAAAACATTAGTTGATCGCCATGACTACTACCCTTTGGGCCCGACAGACTTATATTAAAGTCGGAGCAAAGGCTGTCGTACCCGATTTTTTTACTAACATGCAAAGGAGCGTTCACGCTAGGAGGTCATGGTTCTGGTCGTTTGCGCAGTTGCGACTTTCGAATTACTATTGACACGTGAACGCAAAAGGAAGGCACAGATCACGAACGTGTGACTTTTGAATAAAGATGATGTGTTTGTCTACTAAGGTTACATACTCATACCGCGCTCCTCCGCACTGCCCATTCACCGGTTTTTGAGATTGCCAAAGAAGCCAACCATGAAGCCAAAGGGGCGTGTCATGCATAAGCTTTGAAGTCGTTTTCCTCGGATCTGAACAGAAGAGATGGGTATTTAACGTAGTCCGTGATGTTCTTCTCCGTCACTGGTATGGCCTGGGCCTGAGTGATATGTCTGTGACGAAGCGGTATAGTCGCTGTACCGCGTAGGTAGTAGTAGTTAGGCCAAGTGTGGCCTTGGAAGTCTTGTTCTGCGCTGTCCGAGTACTGAGTAGCCGTAGGACTGATTGCAAAGACCTCGATTGATGAACCTCGTTCTACTAGGTACTGCATGACCTTGCTCGCTAGTTTGGAGTGGTACCATGCATTTGAATTCGAATCTCCAACTTCATTGTTGTCGTTCACGGTGAGTAAGTGGGTGAGGCGTAAGCTTCGTAGCGACCGAAGCCGAGCTATTATGTCCAGAGCTCTTGGAAGATCTCTTCCGTTGAATTTTGAGAATTTTAAGCTGAGATCGACGACGCTGAGATCGATGGCAGCGGCATGGATACCAAGTTCCTCGATATATGGGCATCCAGCAGCAAGTGTCTCCAGCTCTCCAGCTGAGTAGTAACCACGATTGTTGAATAAGGTAAGATCCATTTGACGGTACAATGGATCTAAGTGGAGAAATCGTAGAGTCTGTCCATGTCGGCATACTTTATGCACGTCAACGTGTTGAGGATCTCGAGTCGCTACAAACAGCGTCTCCAGACCTGAAAAGCACCCGATAAACTGGTTTAGAGACTCAATCAGCTCTTCTTCGTCCTCGGGATCTTGTGTTAGGTTGAATGACTTCAGGGCAGACTCGTTTGAGGTTGTATATTTGCTGGTTAGATACCGAAGTAAAACTGGAACACGATCGCAATGGATTATGTCCAAAGTCTTGAGAGAAGGCAGGTGGATAATGCCTCCAAGATGATCAACTCCGTCCAATAGTATCAATTGGAATAGAGACAGGCGTCGAAGTCTTAGAGGTACGAAACCAACAGCGGGTGTCCTTATATCGAGAGGAACTGCAGTTGCGTCGCGAGAATCACGCCCCCACCCAGATCCAAGACTCAAGACTTCAAGAGCTGGTGTGTTCACGAGCCAAGCGCTATAGTCGTTGTCGTTTCTGCGGGATGCGATCTTCAGCTTTTGAAGCTTCTTCAGGCTATGCGCGAGGGAGCGAGGATTGGGAAAGCGTCGGCTGAGTTGGATGTATGAGTGTTGCCGGAATGTGAGCTCCTCGATTGAATGTTGAGAGCAGAGTAGCGACTCCCAAACTTCAGTATGCACGCCTATAAGCTCTACAGTTCTCAAAGTATCCCGAGTAATGCTCGATACTACCTGCATCACGATCTCGAAGTTCTCGGGAGGAGTACGAATCTTCAAGTTCTTGACGTTGTCGAAAAGGCCATCAGGTAAAGACAAGACAAGGGCATCGAAGTCGCGATCTCCAGCTACGAGGCTAGACTCGAAACTTTTCCATAGCACAGATGAGCTAGACTTTCGCCAGTGTTTGTTGGCTAACCCAAGATTCTTGAGCGCTGGGATGGGCAACTACGTAGGCATTAGTGTCGCAAAGGTAACTGGTATTATGTATAACTCACCAATTCGCATACCTCAAGCCGCAGCTCCTCTGATAATTTTCCAATGTAGTCTTGCGTATGCGGAGATGAGGCCATGGTAAGCTTCCTAGGTTTGCTTGAGATGTTGTGGTTCGAATGTGTTGCAATCAAAGTTGAGCTTGCACGGTTGATCGATGGGTCAATGAGAAGCAGAGCGGGTGTGAGTAAGACTTGTATCCAATGGAGGTGCGCATTGGTTCCTGCCTCAACGTGAGTGTAGACCAAGTGAAGGCGAAGTTAGGATATAAGCAATGGAAAATGCTTGTTACGTTCTTTCACAAGGTACGCATAGTCAACCGTGGTTTCGGACGAACTTGCGCTTGATGGTTATACCACCGAAAACGCCAGGCAACAAGCGACAACGTGACGAAATGGATACTCATTCACAAGCAATACAGCTGCTCGTTCTTGCAATGGATCGGTTTCTTCGTTGTAATAGTAAAGGAAGCTGGTTCAGATGACTGACATCGTTGCAGTGGGGCCACGGAGAAGGATGATAACGGACCGCGTTTATGGGCGAAGTGTGGTGATCAGCCGCGCTGCATCATCTATTTCACACGAATACATTCGTTTTGAAACTTCGCGTTATGCTTACAAGGTCGCAGATCGTACACTTGAGCTCAGACGGCAGAGCTACCCGAGGATCGAGTCTGGAAGGCATCGACATTGCAGCGGCTAAACGTACTTATTCTCTGGATGATTGAAACAGCCCTAAGTTGGGAGTTCATATCAGATTTAGTTTCCAGCTAGTGGTCCAGTTCGAGGTGAGAAAGTAGTTATGTGCTCGCAGACGGGGTCTACCATATACTGCCCCATGATCGCGGAGCATTGACCAGAGGTTCAGTGCCTAGATAAGTTCGCGCATTGGCTGTTGACACTTGCGCAGGCAGCAGAAAACGTTTTTGTATAACGAAAATTGCTGCACTAGCAGCGCGATCCGAGGTCTTTTTGTCGAAGGTGCTGTTCAGCGCAATGGGTCAGAGACGCCCATTCGAGTTTTTAGTAACGAGAGAAGTATATTCTACCATCTCTTTGTTCGATATATGCCCTGATCTGTGTGTAGACAACTTGAATGCTGCGTAGTCCTGATATATAGCAGAAAGGAGGATAAATGGAGGCAATAGTGCTTGGAAAGAGGTTGGAAAGCGCGACGCGTGGGATGGTGCACGCGTCGCTAGCGGCGAACAATCGCGCGCAACGTCACCCACCCTTGTTCACGGCTGCTACATTCGTCGATACCGGCGTCGAATGAGACCTCCTCGTGATAATTGCGTATGACTTCTATAGCTCTAGCATCTTCACGTGTCAAAAATGGTTGAACTTTGGCATCTCAAGCCACGATCATTCGATGTAAATTACATCTAAAACTATGTTGATACTGCATGCATGCAAGTATGCGCAGCTGGAATGACGACTAGTCCGCCCAGCCGACGAGTTTGGCAGAGGGGACAGGGGGCTCGACATTCGCCGCATACTTGCCGCCAAAGTTACCCGCTGGAGCGTAATTACAGACGGTATACTTGTTCATGGTCGAACCCTGTCCGTTGACGATCATGGCCGTACCTAGAGATCGGTGTATGAGGTCAGTAATTATCTCACACGCGATTCATATAAACATTACTTACCGCAGTCAAGTGAGGCGCATCCGACCTTTGTAGTTTCCTTCCAAACCAGCTGTGTAAGGTGACCGACTTGCTCGAAAACTTCGTGTGGAAGGTTGTTCTTGCCGAACCAAGGCTTCATTGGATCAAGTTCGCCATGGTACCAGCTCTCCGAGATGCCTGCAGTGGCGTTGAAGGCATCTCCAGACACAACAAACAGGTTTTGGCCTTGGCCTGCGCCTTTGGGGATGTAGTGCTCGAAGTTACACCTACTAGCAGCGATACGAGCATTGGCTTCGCAGTCGGTGTCCCAGATCAGGGGATCGGCGTTGTGATTTGCACGGGCAGCGTTGTGATGGAATAGTACCGCAGCCTGATAATCGGGTCCGGACGAGAGGTAGGCCTGATCGGTGCCCGAGGGATGGGGAGTCCAGGACAGCGAGGGCTCTGGCACGGGGGCAGGTTCCGGCTCCGGCTCGGGTGTCGGAAGGGCCATACGAGGAGGGATAGAAGAGGAGACCGAAGACGTAGACGTGGGTGGAGCATAGCCTCTAGTAAGAGTAACCACTACGGTCTGGATGACTATCTTGGTCTCAATGATCATGTTCGGCTGCCTTCCGTGGAGCTGAGGTCGTGCAAGGACGCCGGCAACCAGAGATGCGGCGACAAGACTTGAGTAACGCATTTCCGATCAGATCAAAAAGGTCGAATATGTATTACTAGCAAGTGGTAAGGAGAGCAGATGACCTGAGGAAGAGATTGAACCGAGACGGAAGAAGTGAGTGTAGTTGAGTGAAAAGTAAAAAGAGTGTTTCCTGTCAGACAGGCTGCCCAGAGATTAGATGAAGAGAGTGACAAATGAAGGAATGTGGGGTGAGAGAACAAAGTGGTGGTGGAGGTAAGTTAGAGGGGAGGAAGCTGGTGATTGTTTATCAACTCTAGATTAGGCAAACGCAGCTAGTGCGAGACAAGAGCGACTGCCACGAGGTGAGATACAATGCAAAGGCAGCTGCTATCACTGCCATCGCGATGGTCTTCTAATAGCAGATACAATACGAGCAAGGGTGATCCAATCGTGCTCGCCGTTGATGAGGCAGTCACAGGTAGGTGGCAGTGCCGCTTGGTGTTGAGGGTCGAGTCCAGGCAGTAACGAGTGCCATGCTTTCTCTCTAGTGTTTCATCAGTCAACAGGCTCTCACACTTGGGCCTATTGTTGTCTACAGAACCAACATGGAATACTTACTAGCAGCACGAGTTGAGGCACAAGTTATACGCCCTCGGCTGCCGGCCTGATAGATGAACTCTCCGTTTGTAAAATTAGGAGAGGGAAGGTATAGTTATAAAACTTTGGAATGAGTGAGGGATCTTTGCGATTCGCGATAAGGCAGGTACGACATTTCAGAGCGCCTGGCAGGAACCACCATCCTTCCCCGGTTGTTAGATTCACGCAGCCACACATATTTGCTATCAGTCCTCATAGCCATCTAGTGTCTGGTGACTCCGTATTTCTCGCCAGCTCTGTCGCTGCTTCACAATGTCTCTTGCAAAAACTTATCTCCATCTACACTTCCCCGACCGAATCATAAGCCAGCCATACGAGCCTATTGAATAGGCCATTGGAGATTGTTTGTCCATCACGCCCATGATTGAAGTGTAAGCCTTGCTCAGTGATGTGGATTCCCTACCTTAATTGAGTGCCATTCCTCCTCCAAAGTCCACTTCGTTTTGGTATATATATTCGCGGTACCAAGACGCCAAATTGCAATCGTGCGATGTTGCGTCTCGATTCGAGTAGCATATACGTAAGGGCACATTATGCCACATCGGTGTCTTCTCGGGAATGTACTGGATTTGCTGTCTCAAGCGGATGTAGCCGTCTCATCTTTGCAGATCGTCTCTAACGGGTCATGGTATCGTGGTGATCACGACTGGCAAACTTCTGCAAGGGGCTTCGCTACTAGAAAAAACTGCAGATGTGATCATCGAGAAATGGCGTACCATGCACGTCATGATATAGCGCCCTACGTTGGTGTGATGCATACTCTGCAAAATCGATGCAGGTCAGAAGGATGCAGATTGCCTCGAACCAAAGCCCCGCGCCGTTCCCCAGCCACTTAGGGTTCTGGAGATTACGTCGTTGGCGGGGTTGCGAATCGGCAGGGTTGCCGGAGCTATGGACTGATAACGTCCAGTAGCCTCGGAGCCGCGCGCCACCGTATCTCACGATAGCTCTTTTTTCTTTGCTGTATGCCTCCTGTGAAATTCAATCTAAGAGGATCTTGTCGCCCTGCACGCACACCCGTCGCGACCGCGCCATCCCGCCGTATACCAGCTCCAGCTACTGTGACCCCGCCATCCACATCTCGAGCGCAACAGCGCAACTTCCGTACTTCTATCCTGAAAATGGACGCGCACAATTCTTCCGGCGCATCCGCCATCTCAGGCGATACTTTGAAGCTGAAGAACCGCCTGAACGAGAGTCGAAGCCCCTATGTACGAGGCCACATGCACAACCCGGTCGCATGGCAGATGTGGGGACCAGAGGCTATTGAGCTGGCGAAGAAGTCGAACAGGCTCATATTCATCAGCATAGGCTATGCAGCATGTCATTGGTGTCACGTCATGGAGCGCGAGTCGTTTGAGAACGACGAGGTGGCAAAGCTGCTGAACGAGAACTTCATACCGATAAAGATTGATCGCGAAGAGCGTCCGGATGTCGATCGCATATACATGAACTATGTACAGGCAACAACTGGTTCGGGAGGATGGCCCTTGAATGCTTTCATTACACCAGACCTGGAGCCGATATTCGGTGGGACATACTGGCCTGGCCCAGGGTCTACGATGGCAATGGGCGAGCACATTGGCTTTGTTGGCATACTCAAGAAGATTCGCGATGTGTGGAGAGATCAGCGTCAGAGGTGTCTGGAGTCGGCGAAGGAGATTACAGCACAACTGCGCGACTTTGCTGAGGATGGAAACATTAGTAGAAAAGACGGTGCAGCTCATGAAGGCCTAGATCTGGACCTTTTAGATGAAGCATATGAGGTGAGTCAATTGCTTTCTGTTAAAAAGCCCATCGCTGAGGAATCCAGCACTTCAAGAAGCGATACGACAAGCAGCACGCGGGCTTCGGCAGTGCGCCCAAATTCCCTACGCCCTCGAACCTCAAATTCCTCCTCAAGCTATCAGAATATCCAAACGCGGTGAGAGAAGTGCTCGGCGCAAAGGACTGCACACACGCAAAAGATATGGTGCTAGCGACATTGGATGCGATGAACAAGGGCGGCATACACGATCAGATTGGAAACGGCTTTGCGCGATACTCTGTCACCAAGGATTGGAGCCTGCCACATTTCGAGAAGATGCTCTACGATCAGACGCAACTACTACCTGTATCCCTGGACGCGTATCTCATGACAAAGAGCCCTGAACATCTTTCCGCGGTCCACGACATTGCGACATATCTCACCAGCCCGCCGATGCATGCCGAAAGTGGAGGCTTCTTCTCGTCCGAAGACGCTGATTCATTATACCGGCCGAATGACAACGAGAAGCGTGAAGGCGCGTTCTACGTGTGGACGTTGAAGGAGTTCCAAGACATACTAGGTGACCGAGACGCTGAAATTCTCGCAAGATACTACAACGTTCACGACGAGGGCAATGTTGCGCCGGAACACGACGCGCACGACGAACTGATCAACCAGAACGTACTAGCAATCACTGCTACACCAGAAGACCTAGCGAAACAGTTCGGTTTGTCAGAAGATGAAGTGAACAAGATACTAACCGAAGGCCGGCAAAAGCTCCTCGAGCATCGCAACAAAGAGCGCCCGCGACCTGGTCTAGACGACAAAATCGTCGTATCCTGGAACGGCCTCGCCATCGGCGCACTAGCAAGAACCTCCGCCGCCCTCTCATCTCAAGATCCCTCACGCTCAAAAACGTACCTCACTGCAGCCGAAAAAGCAGCCGCCTTCCTGCAGAAAGAGCTCTACAACCCTGACACCAAGACCCTCATCCGTGTCTACCGCGAGGGCCGCGGCGATGCACCTGGTTTCGCAGACGACTACGCCTACCTGATTTCCGGACTCATCTCCCTATACGAAGCCACCTTCAACGACAGCTACCTCCGCTGGGCCGACGACCTGCAACAAACACAGCTGAGAATGTTCTGGGACAAACAGCACCTTGGTTTCTTCTCTACGCCCGAAGACCAAAAGGATCTTATCCTGCGGTTGAAAGACGGTATGGATAATGCCGAGCCAGGTACCAACGGAGTCTCAGCACAGAACCTGGACCGCTTAGGCGCATTACTGGAAGATGAGGAGTATACTAGGAAGGCGCGCGACACGGCATCCGCTTTTGAAGCTGAGATTATGCAGCATCCTTTCCTCTTCCCTAGCATGATGGATGCGGTGGTTGTGGGGAAATTGGGTATCAGACACAGCGTTATTACGGGTGAAGGGCAGAAGGTAGAAGAGTGGTTGCAGAGGTACCGGGAGAGGCCTGCTGGTCTTGGCACAGTTAGTAGAGTGGGCAAGGGAATGGGCGATTGGTTGAGTCAAAGGAACGGGTTGGTGAAGAGCATGGACGGAGGTAAGGAGGGGGTCATGGTGTGTGAAGGTGGGGCTTGCAGAGATGCGTTGAGTATGGATATGGGGAGTCTGGAGGATGCTGTGCCAAAGGTATAGTTTTGGCCAAGGCCGCAATGGAATGATTGTACGGTTTACACGACGGATGAATATCAAGATGCAGCTATGTCTTATAGAAGCGCTTGTACGGAACGAATACAACAAATTCTTAGCGAGGGGTGCTTTGGAGCTTCTGTAATCTCATGCTCCGCACCACAACAGCAAAAAGATTAGCTCCCCGATCATTGTTTTACTGTTATCGAAAGATGTCTCATAAGAAACAAAAAGAACGACTTGAATGGTCACTACGAGGGTCGAACTCGCGACCTTGGCGTTATTAGCACCACGCTCTAACCAACTGAGCTAAGCGACCAGGTTATTGTTGTTCGATGGAAGATTGAGGACATAGATATAAAATATCCCCTTGCATAAAGGATAGCAGTGAGGAGCTAGTGAAGACATCGAACGTCATACAGGGCTGTTTTGACAAAGTCCCAGTGAACGTTCTTACCTGCCATGTAGGTGCAGGCAGAAGTGCGGGCATAGTGGGGCATAGTGGGGCATGAGAGAAAGTGCAATTCCCTAGTCCAGCTAAGCAGGGTGCAGACACTTCGCTGGCATTGGTCAAGGAGGAAGACGATGAGTAAAGATGAAGTCTGCCTGGGTCTTAGATGTTGTAGATTTTTGCTTAACGAATATCTTTTAAGCATATTACCACATTATCAAACATGTGATACGAAAGCAAAAACAGTCACGTAAAGAGACACCTCATCTGCGTACGTGTGCAACAAACAGAGTTATTGCGACAACAGCACCTGGTCAAGTGACGGACAGTTTCCACAAAGCGTTGGTATTAAACTTTTTTTTCAAGCCCACCGCCGTACATTACGCTCGTCCGTCGTGCCCGATGTTATGGGTATACAAAGATGATATCCGCTAAAATCAAGCCCCTCTTCCCCTCCCCCATATGCAATAATTTCTATCCATGTTGGCTCGCCCGTGCCGTGGTGTAAGAAGTGACCCAAAAGTACTTTTCTCCAATGCCGTCCGTCGAATAACTACAGGCTTCACACACGCTGCTACTGTTGCTGCATGTGTTGTTGCTGCTGTTGTTGTTGGAGCGCAGGATTATCAAGTGACACGCTCGCCAGGGTATCAGTTGTCAGGTTCAAAGGATTGTTAGTTTTACTTGCTGCAGCGGCCGCCTCTTTGGCCTTTGCCTTCTTGTTCTTCTTCTTACTCGTAGTAGCTGCGCCGCCATTACTAGAAGAAACCTTGTTGATCAACTCGCCGCCTCCAGCGTCAGCATCAGGCCAGTCGAATGTGTAACGTCCGTCTGCAGCAAATGGCTCTTTTCTGATAAATCTTGAGACATCGGCTTGCGTTCTCAATGCCTCTAGGTAGCCTGCTACCTCACGCAGCACATCGCCTTCCATTTGCTCGGGCGTAGCTGAGAACTCTGGTATCTCCAAGAGGTTGTGTGGCTGGGCGCTCGCTTTGAGTGAAGAGTCGTCGATGAGTACCGTGTTGTGCTGGCCGAATTTACCAGTGCCAGCTTCGTAGTCAGGATGAAATGCCTGGATTTGACTCCTGCTCCATACCAGTTTTAAGTTTTTGTAAACTTGTACGTTTTGCTGGTAGTTAGTCGGCGAGAGTCCGAAGCTATCACGGGCCCATTGCGCTACAAGTTTCGAACGGAGGTCGTTGTCCAAAGCTTGATTGACGAGGGCCTTGACATTGTCCGGTCTCGCACTAGACCACACCATAACTTTGAAGTTCTCAAAGAGGTAGCGCAGGAACGGCCTCAGGAAAGGGCGTTGTATCATAGTCTTGGCGTTTCTGTTTGGGCGGAAGAGAACCGTGCCGTTGAGATCTAGAATAACCAGCATTTGACCCGGTGTGTCCGTGGTGGTGGGCTCTCCAGCAGCCTGATCTAGATACTCTTGCGTGGGCTGTGGTGCAGGGAGCATGATCTTCTCATCACCATAGCGTCCCTTTTTTTCGGCGGCAGCTTTCGGGGCCTTGGGGGTACTGTGAAGTTTGTCAATCCGAGAGCACTTTGTTTCAAACGCAATGATGCGGTGGAGGGTACCATACTCTTTCTGCTTAGCATGCCCATTGGCAGCAAGCCCAGACTTTGACTTCTTGCCTGGAGGAGTTGGTGCCCTGTGAGAAGAATTAGCCGCACGATTCTTGAACTTTAGACCCTTGAATAAGGCATCGAAAGCGTACTGTATGTCCTCGTTTCTTGCTGCATGTGGGAAATTTGCCTGTTGTTGCATCATGCCCGGGTAGGGCGGTCGGCTCGGGAACATTTGACGTTGCTGGTGAGGCATATGCGGCAGCCCGCCATGATGCGACTGGTGTCCGAATGGTGGCTGGCCAAATGGCGGCCCACGAAACGGCGGCTGGCCATGAAGCGGCATGTGTGGAGGCGGACGCCCAGCGAAAGCATCTGGTCCTAGGGGGAATGGGGGAGGAGGCGGTGGGTGGTTCGGGTGACCATTCTGTAACATCCAGTGGTGGTATG